CTACAATAATTTCCCCAATATTCTCATAAAACACAAACAAACACAAACAAACATAAAAAAAATCTTTTAGTAAAGTACCTTGGCCCCAGTTACCTCTCTTTGCATGGGCTAAAATAATAGCACATATCACTCTTCACATTTCTATCTTATTTAATCCATCTTAATTAAATCATTAAATTTGTATCTTTTGCCCATTCATTTATCCCTCTATCTCTTCTTATAATAAAAGAAAAATTTCTCCTGAAATCACTAATCAGAGTATGATGCCTTTCTATCCTCCCCCTAAGTTAGTAAAATTAACATTCAACATAACAAATACCCAATTTGGTTCTGCTTGGTACATTCTATCCCCCAAAAATGTTTAAATACATTGTATCCTCCTTTCCTTCGATATTTTATTACATTTTAAAAATCAATCATTAATAAAAACTTCAACATTTTAATTTCTTATTAAATCTTAAAGCATTCTAATTTACTATTTCAAATATAAATGTTACAATACCATCTTCTGTACCTTAGCAGAATCTTTCTTACAGAAAATTATATTTCATCCTTTGTCTCTAAAAAAAATCCCTCTTCTCCCATCCAATTTTAAAGCTTTGAGGCTTTTCTCCGCCTTTCCCCTTTCTTTCTTCCCCCACCAAATCTTCCTACCCCCCCTTCTTCTTCTAACCTCTGCCTTGCTGGGATCCCTTCTCTGTTGCGTTCCCTTTTTCTCTTGTTTATTATCATTATATTTACTTTGCATCATATTTTTCTCTTTCTCAAATGTTTTTTTAGATCTTAAGTCCTTCATTTTCCTTGCTCTCTTCCTTCCTTCTTCCTTAGATAAGTTTTGGGATTCAATGAAGATGGCGTCTTCGTCTCTTCCTTGTTGTTCTTCTTCCGTTTCCATCTGTTCCATTGTCTGTTGGTAATTGACCAGCGCCATTTCTAGGAATAGAAAAGCTTTTTCCATGCCATCTTTGCAGATTGCTTTTATTTGCTCATATTCATCCCTCAGGTCTTCAAAAAGGAAAGCCATTATAAATAAATCTTTTCTTTTCTTTATTCCTCTTTCTTCTTACACCAACCAAATATTCCGAGAGAAAGGCAAAACAATCCCAAAATCCACAATCCTCAATAAATCCAAGCAAGCCAATATTCCCCCTTCCTCTTCCAGGGGTGGTATCAAACAAATAAAAAAAAAGAATCCAAGTCTATATTTTAAAGCCTTATTAAGATTGTATTTCTGTCCTCAAGTCTTCAAGGCATCTCCTCCAACAAGATCCAAATTTATAAATTTTCTTTATCCTCTCCCTTCCGGCTTAATTCCGTCGGGAGGGAGAGTAAACTTTCCCTTCAGCACCTCAAAATAGCCGCTTTTTTTTCTCTTGTGGAAGAAATCATCAGAAAACCATCTTTTCCAGGAATTAAATTAGATAAATCTCAAAGCCCTGGGTCGACCAAGAAGAACTTTTACTTTCAATAACTTTCTCTTCTTCCTCCTGCGCATACTTGCCCGGCTGTCAACTTCTTTGTGGCGGCCATTACGGACCGCCGCTGCACCGTCCTGGTAACAGGGGGTTCTGCCGGCCAGGGAGGGGGTCTGCAACACCCCCAAACCCTTCCTCCGGATCCCCCTTACCTTCAGCTACCCCTGCAGGGCAGCCTTGCTCCGCACCCGTCCGGGTCGGAGCCCCAAAACGGCTAGCGCGGCAGGGATCGCGCAGCTTCGCGAATCCCTACCGCTCGCGAAGCCGACAAACCGGAAACCTGAAAATTGAAGATTTTTACAATGCAAAATAGAAAAACCAATGCATTTTAAAAGAAAGCGTGTATTGTACATGTAGCTGTAAAATTAAAAACCTGTGATGCATATATAAAGTCCTATATGCATAAATTTCCAATTTTTATGGGTTTTAATTAAATTCTTAAAAAGGACAATTGTAATATAATTTTGATATATTTGAGGGTCTTTAATTCTTTGCTGGTATTTTTATTCCTTCTGATATTGGTCTAATTCTTATTTAGACACCAAGTCAGCTGTGAGAATTATTTTGAATCAGTTTCTTCATAGGCATAAATTGGCATACACACCATTTTTATATAACTGAAAATATTCCTATAATTTTTCTACTACCTAAAAACCTTTTGTTCCAATATTCTGATTATCAGAATAATATCAGACTATTTTTAAATTTTTACATTTATCAAATGTAATAGGTAGTCTACCTTTTCACCACAATTCCAAATAAAATAAAACATTAGCATTGAAAAATCTCTGTTATAATGAGGCCCCCATTCAGACATACTCTTAATTTCCCTTTCAAGTTCCAGTCAGGAGAAATGTAGTTGTCTCTCTGCTTAATTGTATAAAATAGAAGATTGAGCAGAAAATATATCAGATTAGATAAGTAATTTTTCTCTTTTGTAAATATTTTTCTCTAGGGAAACTAAACTGTCAGCTGAACCATTTAGTAATAGTACTTAGACATATAGACCTCTTCACAGTGCTTTTACAGCCCTCTCTAAGCAGTCTACAGAGTCAGCATCTTGCCCCCAACAATCTGGGCCTTCATTTTACCCACCTCAGAAAAATGGAAGGCTGAGTCAACCTTGAGCCTGATGAGATTCGATCTGCCAAATTGCAGACAGCTGGCAGACAGCAGAAGTAGCCTGCAGTACTACATTCTAACCACTGTGCCATCACGGACTACTTGTTTTGGGGAGTGTATGGTTAGTGCTATAAAATAGCTCTGCTGCAAAGCTGGACAACTTTCTTTCATGAAAGTTAATCTTGGAATACATTCTTCTGTGTGATGATTGTAGTTCTCCAGGAGCTTGTCTGGTCAGATTTATACACATTTGGATTCAATTAATGATAGTAAAGGTTTCAGAAAATGTTCAGTGTTTATTGTATTATACGAATCCAGGCCACAGGAGAAATGGGCAAGCGCCTGCACAAAAAGCTCCATTTGCTTGAGCAAGCACATTCACACAAAGCTTACAAGCTTTGCATGTGAGTGCCCTCCCCTTGCACGAGTGGAGCTTTGGGTGCAAGTACTTGCTGCTCACTCTAGTGGAGCTTTGCACATGAGCACAAGCAGCCTCTGCTCGAGCGCGAAGCTCCATTCATGCAATTAAAGGGCCCACGTACACGCCACTGGCACGAATGGAGCTGTGAGTGTGTACGTCTGTCACTCACATGTCCGCCCTTGCACTGTGCCGGGCTGCCAAGCTGGAAAGGTTGGGGACCGCTGGCATAGAACATATTGTAGTCAGCTAGGAATGAGCAGATTCCCATCTGTGTCAATGTGTATATATATTCAATTCCAACTTTAACTGATAGTTTAAATAATTTAAAAGTCAGATATGTGGGCCCTTTTGTTGTGTGAATGGAGCTTCGCGCTTGAGCAGAGGAGAAAAGGAGACATTTCCATTTAGAGAATACAGCTTATATAGATTTATCAAATCACATGGTTACATAACACTTCCTGTTTCCCATATATGGACATTATACAACGTTTTCTTAAGAAAGTTCCAACCTTCCATGGAAAACTCCCAACATTCTCATTATAGTCAGATTTCCTGTTATTCAAATTCCAGATGATTATAAGAAAACCATTAATCTCTTAATGTGGCATCCCACATTAAGCACCCCAGCACATACCTCTAATTTATGCCAAGTACATAGTTTTGCAATCTTGTATTATTTCTAGCAGAAAACACATTACATAATGTTCTGAGCTTTAAAAGTTCAGACTGCAAACACAAAATGGCTTCAGTTCGGCTCTTCACATTCTCAGGTATAACAACCAAATTTTCACCTATAACTTCCTTAGATAGAAGTACATCATTAATACAGCATTTTAGAAAGAAAAGCTTTTATTATGTCTCAATTTACGTGCATTTTGATACTTTAACTTTGGACATATAATAATTCAATTTCATTGTGTGAGTGTATGTATACACAGAAAATGGTATGCATGAAAATACGTATGATAAGGAACCCATCCACAGGAATGGAAAGTGACTGATAGAGTATTTGAAATTCAGGGTTGAACTGTTGGATCCTTGGCGCTCTCTGTGCTTGGTGGTTTTTCTTGCAGATGTTTCATTACTAAACTGGGTAACATCACAGGTGCTAGAAGGGAGTGGGATTTGCTCTTATATAACTGACTTGCCTGCCGGTATTGGTGGGAGTTTTCTTGGTGATTTCTTGATTACCAACTACCGTCGATAGCTCCTTGATTATCATTTACTTCTTGTTTAATTGTCTAATATTAACTTTGGTGTTAATCTCTGCACTACTCAAAGTAACTCTGCAGAAAAATTAATTACCATGGTCAGATTTTGAGATTCTACCAAACTACCTATCAGCAATATAGATTTTTCCAGAAATCCTAGAGTTTCATGTTTCCTGAGCTTAATATAAAGATATAATATAAAGTTTTACAGAGCTTAATATAAAGCTCTTTCACATAAACACATAGATTACTTAACATAAAAATAAAAAAAAACATATATCAGTCAAGTATCATATAATAACCATCAATGAATCCAAGAGATGGGCTCTATCACACAGATTATTGTATAACCATGGTTATCTCCACATTTATTTGCAAGGACTTCTCATAAGGAAAGTAACCTGAATTTGGAAAATATAATAATCTAACTACTGAAGATAATAACATCTGAATATTCTATATAGCAACCATAGCTCTGTAGTATAGCGATAATAAGGAAATAAATTGGAAAACATCTGAAAATTTAAAGAACAAGGGAAGTATGCATTTCATGAGTTTTAGGGCTACTAAACCGGGATGGCCCTTCCCTTTTGCACTACACTAGAACTCCATAGCAGCATCTAAGGATCTTTTACAGGTGTGCATTATAGGGAAATATAATAAGCAGCCTATAATAAATAGCAATAGCACTTAGACTTATATGCCATTGTATTTTATAGCTCTTTCTAAGCAGTTTACAGAATCAGCATATTGCCGCCAAATGAAAGGAACATGGATGGTGTTGTACAAAACCACATGATAGATCCTAGCAACTGGCTCAGGCCCTCATTATTGGCTTTGTTTCCATTGCAGAACCAACTATTTCCACTATCCCTCCTGTCTGTCAAGATTCTGAAAGCCAGTATCATCACCACTTATACACGATGTAAGTTCCTGGCATGTTATGGTTGAAAAATAGAGTTGAGTTTTACTTAATTGTGTTGATCTCACAGAAATACAAATTTAGAAAAGCTGAGCTCATAATTTAAGAGATTTTTTGGTGACTTAGAGCAAAATAAAATATAATAAACTTGATTGTTTGCAGCTTATACGGGATATAAAACTTTTTTTCTCAACAGCATCTCTTGCTTTTATTCCAGATTTTTCCATGATTATCTACCATTACTCTCTAGGCTTCTGTTTCCTATTAACACACCACTCTGTTTCCAACCCAAAAGCAGGTCTACCAGTATCAGTTTTTGGTTTCCAATACATTTCCTTCAGTGAATCTTCAAATAGTCTCTTCTGGAACCCAAACCAGGACATGCTTTCTTATTACATTTTTTCCATGAAGAGAATCAGTCTTCTACCCAGTTTGCACTGCTCCTATTCTCTTTTGATGTTTTATCTCATTAAGTTGAATCTCATTTCCACTACACAAAATTGTTTCTAAAAATTCGACATCTTAATAAGTGTTTCTCAGAATCTAAAGCGCTGAAAAATCTTTAAATTATTTAATTCATTTATTTATTGCATTTTTAGTCTGCCACAATCACTTTGACTCTTGGTGGCATGTATTTCAGAATCAGAACAGAGCTGGAAGGGACATTGGAGGTCTTCTAGTCTAGCCCCCTGCTGAAGCAGGAGACTGCATACCATTTCAGACAAGTTACTGTCCAGTTTCTTCTTAAAAGCCTTCAGTGATGAAACACCCACAACTTCTGGAGGGAAGCTGTTCCACTGGTTAATTGTCCTCACTGTTACGAAGTTTCTCCTTCGTTCCAGGTTGCTTCCCTCCTTGATTAGTTTCCATCCATTGTTTCTTATTCTGCCCTCTGTGCTTCGGAAAATAAACGGACCCCTTCTTCTTTGTGGCAGCCTCTCAAATACTGGAATACTATCATGTTCCCCGCCCGCCCCGCCAGTCCTTCTTTTCTCTAAACTAACCAAACCCGAATCCCGCAACTGTTCTTCATATGTTTTAGTCTCCAGACCTTTAATCATCTTAGTTGCTCTTTGCACTTTTTCCAAAGTCTCATAATCTTTTTTGCAATGTGGTGATCAAAACTGGATGCAGTGTGGCTTTACCAAGGCTTTATAAAGCTGTACCAATACCTCACATGACTTTGATTCTATGTCTCTGTTTATGTAACCAAGGATTTATCAGCTTTTTTGGCTGTTGCTGCATACTGCTGGCTCATGTTTAAGTGATCATCCGCTAGAACTCCAAAGTCCCTCTCACAGTTACTATTTTAAATTACTTTTTAAAGACTAATAATATATAGATTATTACAGTATAACAAATAGAATATAGGTATCTTTAGAAGTAGGTGGCACTCTTGACCCATAGGAATTTAGCTATTATATTTCTTTTGTTTATTAAGATGTGCTGAATATTTGAAAAAAGCAATTACCAATTTCTTCTTTTTCCTGCTGTAGATTCCACATCTGATTGCTATGTGACTTTGCATCTGCCAACAGCATCACGGGAAATATTCAAAACCCAGACTGTCAGGAATTCTTACTACCCAGTCTGGAATGAAACATTTTATTTCAGGATCCAAACCAAAATCAAGGTAGTGTAATGTAGTTGCAATGCATTCATACTATTTGACAAGCTTACAGGATAAACAAATCCATAAAATGTTGTTGCAAAACAGACTTTTCCAAACGAGACTGTAAAATTAACTCCATGATTTGATATTTTGAAAAGGAAAACAAACTATTGAAACCTTTGTTTTCTATCATTTGGAGATGCTTATATGCCTGAAAGTACTTATCAGAAGTTTTGTGTGTAAGTGCAGAGATCAGATAGCTAATGCTTTATGTTCAGAGATTACTGTTAATCCATTGCAAAGATTGGAAATGAATACTCTGAGATAGCTGGTAGTGAAACATATTCCATTACACATATTTAATGTGAGGGTTTTAAAATGCAGTGACATCTGCTGCAAAAGAAAAGAAAGAATGCTAAAAATTTCTTGGAATTTAATAGACAGTTTTTTTTTCTTGGGGACTTTTTCCTAATATAATATCCCAAAAAACTTATGGTTAAGTTTTTAGGTGAATTTATCATCTGTAACAGCTTCCCTGTTGATTATCCAAAATAAGATTCAGGTTGTGTGTGTATGTGGGGGGGAGATAAATGTGATAAATAAATAGATACTGTACATAAGTAAATAAATTAGCAGATGTACAGAGTTAATGAGATTGACTAATTAGATTTCTTACTCTGAGTATAATCAGTTTTCCTGGTCAATAGGCAAAATTCCATCAATTTGGAAGAAAATATTACAGCGAAAATATCTACATTGCCATCAGTAAAAAGGAGCATGCAATTGCCATTTCTTCTCTTCTGTTCCTAGAATATCATACAGTTGGAAGTTTGCAAAATGGATCCAGACACCAATTGTGATATCCAATTAATTGTTCTTTTTGATTTGTCAAAACTCCAGTCCGGAAGTCCAGTCCTTGAGAAATTCTCCTTAAAACCGAAGGTGAGGGGCAAAAAATTATTTTGCACATAATGTAGGTGACATGTGTTCTTTAACCCTAATGGATGTTCTTTTCCCAAGTGTATTAAATGGTACGTTTCATGGGTTTTGTGAAAGGAGAGCACAGAAAAGGATTGTCCTTAAAAAGGGGGTTATACTTCATGTCATATCAACTTCCTTTCCTCTCCTCTCCTCTCCTCTCCTCTCCTCTCCTCTCCTCTCCTCTCCTCTCCTTTCCTTTCCTTTCCTTGTCAGGGTTCCAGTTCACACTGGAATCAAAACTTCAAGGCAGGCATGTTCCTCAAAGTATAGATTCAGGGCTGACACCTTTCCTCTCCTCTCCTCTCCTGTTTGGTGGACTGCATATATTAATGTTGTCTTCGTTCCTGTGCATTTTATAAATGTTTTTCTGTTACCAGACACAAGAACAACCTGATCATTATGATTTTCTAGAAGTGGAATTCAAGCTGTCAGATATGTAAGTGTAAACATGAAGTCATTGTTCATGGTTTGGGTCTTGGAAAATTCATCCTTTGAATTATTCAGCAGATAATTCAAAAAAGGAATTGTTTTGGGGGTATTTGGGTATCCTATTCTATCTTACCTTACCCTGTTCTATCCTATTTTGTTTAGTAAGCCATACAATTCTGCAATGATCTATTATGGAATTCCATACAACTGTATTCTGATACATTGCCTATGTTTATGTAACATAATAGACTGAAACACAGATCTCTGTTCATATAACATACTGCATCCAAATAAATGAAACATAGTATGATGTAACTTTGCCCTGATTTATACAATATGCTAAACTAGGAGTGTCAAACTCATATCATGGCAGCGTCATGTGACGTATTGGGACTTTCCCCTCCTTTGCTAAACCTTGCATGGGCATGGCCAGTGCATGACTCATCTGGCCCGCAGGCCGGGAGTTTGACAGCCTTGTGCTAACCCATGCTGCAGTTCCTGCAGATATTGAATCTCTAATTTTCCATCCCTATTTTAGCTTATATTATGGAAAAACAACCATTTGGAGGTTCCATTAGCTCTTCTACGTAGTGTTCCATAATTAGAACAGAATCACCCTTCCAACTCTACCTCAGAATAAATTCCTTCTCCCCCCAAAATGTCCAGTTTTGTGGCTGTTGAGTCTGTTTCCTTAACAATGGAAGTGGCCAGTTTCTCTACTGCATTGTCAGAAGCTGGATCCTGGCATGCCAATTTGATTTGGACAAGGACCATTAGCCACTAATTCTGCATTATTCTGAATGTAAGGAACTACATTTCTTATTTTTGTTTATAGATTGCATATGTTACAAGTTACTATATAAAACGGGGTGGGGGAAGGTCAGTTTCTGGTCTATTTGATCATCAAAATATTTTTTCTTTTTCTTTTTTGCTCCTATAATAATCAATAGGATCTTTTCATGGTGACATCACTTCCTGTAATGTCTCCATCTCTATTCGAGGAGGTTCTCTAGGCCAAGCATGAGCCCTAATCCAGATACTTTATTTTTGTAGATGGAAGAGGAAGGAGCTTGTTTTATTTATCAAATGTATAATCTGCCCTTGTGCTTCTATGAGCATTGATGGTGAACTTACAACAAGAAATAAAAATACAAAAAGTGTTTAATTGACAAATTATTTTATTCTTTAATTTGGTGCTGTACTGAAGTACTGCTGGTATTTTTTTTAATTTTTGGATTACTGTTTATTATGGTTGGTTGAGCAGTGCGGTGGCCTAGAGGAAAAGACCCTAGCCCCACACTCAGGAGGCTGAGAGTTCAATTCTAGGCAGTGACAAATGTTTCTCTATTAGGGGATAAAGAATAACTCCACACAGGTGTCACAAAGGACGTCTGACCACTAAATGGTCAGCTCCATTCAGTTGCCCCGACTCCACTCCGATACAAGGGATTACGGGGTCATAAAAAGAAAAAAAAATATTATGGTTGGTTACATAGTCAGCCAAATGTTTAGGTTGGATTTGGCACTTTTATCAACCTATCAAGCCCTTCCCGAGAATCTGGTATAAGTAGAGGTTGTTGAGATATTGTTAGATATGATTTCCAAGCAGAACTGCCCATTTTCAATTGATTGAGGGTGACTTTGTCAATGGGAATGGTGTTCAGGTGATGCTCCAGTTGTTATTATTGTTATTATATTTTGGACTTGGCTTTTTCACACTCCATTAAGTTTTACTGGTGCCACTTTAAATTCAGTTCATGGGCAAACTGATAAAAATGTATGGAGTAAAGAAGTTTACTCTGCGTCACAGTGCACAAACATCTTAATAATTTATCTGGCTGGCAATTTATAGAATAGGAGTGTCTGCAGCTCTTTGTATTGCCTTTCCTGTTTTTGTCAGTTGTTCACAAAGCCTTATTTCTAAAATAGTAAAGGATAACAACCTTGGTCTTATTGGTTCTTTTTTGTTTATTTTTCTTCCCCCCGCTCTGTTTTTTAGGCCAGGTCCTCCCGAGCAACTGATTTCCAATGGTGTCCTAGTGGTAAGGATTCTTCTTCTGGAGTCTTCGGGAAGTTTGGTACTCCTTAGAGGTTTTGGGTCCATGTTAACCACATGGGTTGGAAAATCTGCAAGATGCAGGTTGAGAAAAATGGGTATATGCCCTCGTTTTTCTCCATTAGGAAGCACTGTATTGTGGGATATGATGTAATGCAAAGAAAGAAACAAAGTTCTAGACACAATGTTGTATCTTTGGTTTTCACAGGCCTGTGGACTTTCCATTTTGGATGTAAAAGTGAGCAAGGAGGATAATGAGAAGGTATTGAAAGGTATATACCTTGTTTGTATATGTGTGTGTGTCTAACTTTTAATGTTGACTCCTGAAGTTTTCCCTGCAGTTTTCAAGCGGTCTGCCGTTGCCTGTGTCCTAGGGCTGAGAAGGTAGCAAATAATTGTCACATCACCCTGGAGGCGTTAATTATAAATACATGCTGATTGTCCAAGGCCCAAATTTTGATCATGTGATCATGAGAAGGCTGTGATGGTCATAAGGCAAGGACCAGTCATAAGTCACTTTTTCAAGGCTGTTGTAACTTTGAACAGTGGCTAAACAAATGACTATAAGTCAAGGATTACCTATATCCATGATAGGGAACCTATGGCACGTGTGCCACAAGTTGCCTCACTGCACATGCACGCGCCTCACAGCTGATTTTTTTTCGGTTGGTTTGAGGCCTTTTTTGGCCTCCCAGGCCTGAAAAGCCTTGCAGAGGCTTTTTCCAAGACTCTGGGAGGCCGAAAAAGGCCTCAAACCAGCCGAAAAATCAGCTGTGAGGTGCAGTGCAGGTAAGGGGGGGGGGATTATGCACGCATGCATAATGGGGAGGGGGGCATGCATTGCATTCTGGGTGCTGGCATGCGAGTGTGTGTGTGCTGGCACGCATGCAATTTTTGGCACAGGAGCCCAAAAAGGTTAGCCACCACTGACCTATACCAATGATGGCAAACCTTTTTGGCACCAAGTGCCAAAAAGGGTGGGTACGCACACATGTCAGGCATGTGCCCTGGAAAAGAAGCTGCCTAGAACTTCCAGTTTCCAGCATGTGCATGCACACCAACCAGCTTGTCTTTCGGTTACTGGCGCACATGCGCACATGACAGTCAGCTGGCCAGCGCACATGCACACAATGGAAAATGGAAGACCAACTCTTCCAGTTTCCAGCAATGCCATATGCACAAAAAACAGCTGATCAGCATGCGCACATGCACACCAGAAACCCAGAAGAGGATTGGGCGATACTGCGTGTGCCAGCCAACATGGCTCCACATGCCACTTTGGGCATGCATGCCGTAGGTTTGCCATCAGGGACCTTACCTTCAAGGGCATTTGTGTGAGTTTTTTTTTTGACAAATCTGTGCCATGACCTCATGACTCCTCTGTGACTTTTGAACTTGCAACTATCACTGGGATAAACATTGGAAAAGTAGAATTTGCACTGTGGCTTTACAATAAACATTTTGAAATCATTGTGGTTTCTAGCAGTTGCTGAGGCCAGCATTCTAGAAAGAGAGGATGCCCGTAAGGGGTATCAGAAAATATCTAGAGATCGAGTGGTGAATTAGTGAGAGTACTTCACAATTAAAAGACAAATTACTCTTCCAGTTTAGGCCTCTTCTGATATTTGTAACACTGCTTATTACTTTAATTCCGATCTTCTGATTTAGAAAAATGTTCATTTTAAACCATTGCACAGAACTCCAAGGGAAGACTTTTGCAATCAACAATGATCAAAAATGTATTTTTACAATCTTATTGTTGTGCTATGTTTAAACAGAAACCATTAAAACCATCCAATTCCTAATTCTCTCCAAAGGGCAGAGATTTTTAAAGCCACCCAGAAAAGGAAAAATTGACATGTTTTGTGAATAATGTGCTTGTGATTTCTCAATATCCCATGATGGAATTTATGATGCAAAATGGCATTTACTGTAGCTATTACCAAATCTGGGGCATATGCAAAGGATCAAAATAGTTTAAAATCCTCCCAATGCTGGTGAATTCTTGATAAAAAATTACAGCTACTTTTTCAGGAATTCTTTTTCTCTCTCTCTTTTGCATCAGAATTTGCCATTTGCAATTATATTGAAATTGTTAAGTGATGCGATTTGGAAGGGTGAAAATAAGCAACCCTTATTCTTGTCATTCAAGACAAGAATTGAAGGCCTGGAGATTAAAATGACTTTTTACTGAGCTGACAGATCTGGCAGCCCTGACAATACCTTCCTGGTTGCCTTTGCAGGTTTTCAAGATTGAGGCAGGACACATTTTCCAGATGTGCCCATGGTAAACCAAAAAAAGAGCAGATGCTGATAATATTGCAAAGGCATCTGAAAAGTATTGCTTTATTCTGACTGCACATTGCCAGTTTAGTCTCACTTATTATGTATTTATATGCCTTTCTTGACTAGCATTTAGGGAATTGCAGCCCCCAGAGTATCTTTTGGTTTGAAGAAGACACACTGTGGTGCAGTTTATCTGTGGATACGGAGGTGGCTCTTCAGTCCCTGTCTGGAAGCACAGAGTCTAGTTCAGTGGGGACACTGAAAGTCCATTGTTACGATAACTGTGGATGTCACTCTGTGACACTATTCAGTTTTTGGTGATGCCAGTCTTGGAGGTGTTGGAGTCTTCATAGCAGAGGTTTCATCAGTGGATTCTGTCAGCAGCTGCAGCTTCTAGTTCCCTTGGCTGGATGTCACAGTGTTGCAGGGTTTCTACTATAGGGTCTTTCTAGTGTTTGTGTAGTCAACTTTGAAGACTTTTCCCAGATTCCATTACACTGTATAGCAAATATTATATGTTGGCAACCATGCTATCATTTTAGTCCTATGGAAAATTTCATTAATGATGTGGACCCTTTCTAGGCTGGATTCAGAGTGGAATAATGGTATGGAAATGACATTGATCATGTTTGTGGAAGACCATTACACCACTGTCCTCTTGGATTTCATGATGGCTTCAGGATTAGGGAGGGGAGATGCTGTTTGTGGTCTTTCTCCTCCTTCATCTGTAGGGGTTTCTAGGTGGTGTTGGTGGAACTTGGTGGGGGACCTCAGAGCTTCCTCACCACTCTTTTTTGACATCTATGTGAAACTTCTGCATGAGGTCATTCAGTGGCATGGGATGTGATATTTCAGTATGCCAATGATTCTAGTTATACATCTTCACTGTTTTGTGCTGGCCTAGAGTGTGGAGGCTATAAAGGTCTGGATGGGGAGTAACCAGCTTTGGTTAAACTTTCACCAGATGGAGTGGCTTTGAGTTTTTGGCTCTCCAGGGTCCAGTGATGGGTAAACTTTAACCATCAATGGGGTAGCAGCTCCCCAGGGAGAACTACTGTACAATTTGGGAGTCTTCCTGAACTCACTTTTCCTGCTTGATGGGTTCTTTGCACAAATACATCTTGCATGCCAACTGCTCCCATTCCTGGATGGAAAGATCTTGCTCCCATTCCTTCATGTCTTGGTCACTTTCTAGCTGGACCCTTGCAATGCACTCTATACAGGATTGTCTTGAAGATCATCAGGAAATTGTAGTTGCTTCCAAATACAGCAACATGCAGGATATTGGGCATCCCTCAGTTTGCCCATACCACTGCTTTGTGAGCTGCACTAACTGCCAGTTGCTCTACAGATGCAATTCAATGTGCTGTTATTATCTTTAAACCCGCACATAGCACAGGGCCAAGTAATCTGCCCATCCCACTATGTTGGGTAGAGTGGGACAATCCAATTCCCTTCCCTCAGTTGTTGCATCCAGTGGGTCAAGGAAGTATAGCATAGCAATTTAGACTTATATACCACTTCACAGTGCTTTACAGCCCTCTCTAAGCAGTTTACAGAGTCAGCATATTGCCCCTAACAATCTGTGTCCTGATTTTACCCACCTCAGAAGGATGGAAGGGTGAGTCAACCTTGAGCCTGGTGAGATTCAAATTGCCAAATTGCAGTCAGCCAGCAGTCAGCAGAAGTAGCCTGCAGTACCACATTCTAACCACTGTGCCACCACTGTGGCTCTTATTGTAACAACCTTTGCCATTATAGAATACCCTTTGCTTCATACTGGGAACGAATGCACCACAGAATGAGGCGAGGCGGCTAAATTGGTTGCTCAGGCTTTATTGAATTCGCGCGCTAACAGCGAATGAACCACTCAGCTATGAGAACTGGAAAAGTCCATCTTCTTAGCTTTCTGGAAAGCCACGAAGAGCTGACCTTTTGCCTTTTAGTAGATGGTTATCTTGCATGCTTAATATTTGATGATACTTACAAATTGTTTCATTAGCATAAGTGGTTAAAGAAGAAGCTATGAATGTTTATCTCTTGCCAGCTATTCTCTGGAGTTTGAAATACCTTCCTAAAGGTGAAGCCACACCTTTGCCTTGTCAAGCATCTGTCACTGAACCTACTTTTCTTGAGGCAACGTAATGGAGTGGGAAAGTTTTTCTAAAACAAGGCAAAACATCACTCAGTGAGAAGAAGTCGCTTAATCTTCCCCATAATTCTTTTACAAATGGTATTGTTTCTTCGTCCTGGGTTCCCCCCCACACACACACCAATTTTTGAATATGTAAGCTTGCTTGAGACAGACTATAATCACAGACAGCAGCAGTATTTAGCATCCCTCTTTTGCCTACTGAATAAGCATGGCAAGACAGCAACAGCAATTCTTATAATAAGAATTACCCTGTAGTAAGATGAGCAGCCAATAAATTTCAGAATAAATTAAAAATAATGATCTTATAAGGCTATTCTATTTCAATATTGTGTATTTTGTGATATTTGATTCTTGATATGCAATAATGTTTAGAGTAGGCTGTATTTGATACAGTGTGCAGTGGTAGTTCATGATCCCTGTCAGTATTCAGGTCTATCATATCTGAAGCACCTGAATGTTAAAGTGGAAGTAGTGTGAAATCTGAAAAAAGTCCTTACTTTTATATTCAAATTATAAAATGTGAATGGCAATTGGCAAAACATGAATTTGAGCTGGAATTAGGTATTTTTAAAGTGATGTATTTTCTTTGTATCAGATTTATGGAAACAGAAAAGAGTTTTGACCTAATCTTACTATGCTTTCATATAAACAAGTTGTAAGCTGCATATCCTTTTATATATGAATAGTATTAAATATATATGCATGAAAGAGACATGAGGTTCTACATTTACTGTATGTCTTGATACCTTTGACAAAGGATGCAGTTCAATAATTAGTTTATGAATACAAAATAACAAGTGTTCATGCTAACAACACATTTTTAACAACACATTTTTAAAAGCATAAATATCTAACATTTAATTTAATTTATCATGTCTTGTTTTATTTTAGCCAAAAAATTTTTGGTCTTTTCAGTCGAGCAATCTTATGAAGGAACACAGAAGACAAGCAAAAATTTAGATTCCTTCCGCTTTCATTGCATAAAAAGCTTTGGGCCAGTACTAAAAGCTAAAATTCAGGTAATGGTCTCAGTTATCATGTAACTGTAATTCAGCAAAGGAAAATAAGTATGAATGTATCCCTTTTCCATGGACACCCAATTATCCATCAGGTTATCGTGTAGCAACAAATAAAAAAACCATCGTTCTGCTGGTGCGTCAATGAATCTTGAAGGTTTGGCTTTGGCAAATGGGCCATTTTAGACTGTGTGGGCTGTTTTCCCCTCCCACCTAATCTTGTTATTCTTGCCATCTTCACTCTTCATTCTTGTAATTCGCTATTTTCTCATTTTTACTTTTTAAAAATTGATTTGTTACATTTAAAATTTTTAAAAATATTTTATACTTTTAATTTTTAATATTTTTTAAATATTTAAATAAACAACACATTTTTAAATGATTTGTAAATTGTAGCCAAAATACAATGAGATAGTCTGCTTCCATCTAGTTATTGAATACGTACATTTCTTTAGCCAAGACTTTTCTGCTGAGCCGGCCAGAATTACTGTAAATTTAATGAAGGTTCAGAACAGTTAAAGGAAAATATAAGGAAAGAGACCAAATAATTCTTGAGTTCCAAGAACTGAGGGTTCAGCTAGTTTTTTGATGCCTGGAATTTGCCTGAATTAAAAGTTCATTCAATGACTGAAAGGTCAGCTAATCATCATTATCATCATCAAGCAATAAGTAATATACTAAATCTTATTCATTTGGGTCACCTTTTTTTTCTTCCCAGAACATTTTACCTAACAAGGACAGTGAATCTGATTATTCGTTAATTCTGCCTTTGAAACTACTTCCAGTTGGCCATCAGGTTAAACTTGAACTATCAACGGGGAAGGCAAGTTTTGATTCTTAAAATGAATGATCACCTTTCCTGATTACTGTTGCTGTTTTTTAAAGTATACTTGAGTGATACAAATAAATTATCATTTAAACTTTCTGTGAAAGTTCTGTTAAAAACTATGTTTTTCTAAAAAAAAAAAAAGAGGAAAATGCTGCTTCTCCCTCCCTCTTAAATTTAATGTAATTGACTGCTGGTCAGAAATCATACATAAACTACTTCATAAACTACATAATGTAGTTCATACATAATGCTATATGTAATCATACTTATTAATATTCACACATAATATTCATAAATAATATTTTGTAGTTCATACTTAGATTACATACATTATGTAATTCATACATAAATTATACAATCACTGTTTTCAACGAATTAATAGAAATCTCTTATTTTGAAGTAGGGAGCAACATAATAGAACCTCTATTCTGGCTTCACAACATGAATTACTGAAATTTCAAGAATTTCTGAGCTGTTAATTGACTCAAGAATAGACAATGGAACATCATCCAAGGATCATTTTACTTATTTTGCATTATTTATCAGAAAGACAAGACAAAGACTCTCTCCACCCCCCCTTTTCTCTCTTTCTCTTTTTCATACTCTGGGGAAAATGACAAATGAGTTTCCCACAAATATGCAAACTGAATCTTTCCAGTGATCATTTATTTATAAATATTACATGTGTTTTGCACTTTTTCATATATGGAAAAACTGAAGTCTAATATAGCATTGAGAAAACTCAAGTCTAATATAGCATTTTCTGTGTTTCTTTATTGATGGATTAATTGATTATAAGTACTCCTATGCACTCCTTGGTTAAACAAATCTAAAGAGTTTATTTGTTATTTTTTTTCACATGCCCAACTTATTTGTCTCTCTACCCCTTTTTAGTCCAGTTTCACTGTCTTCACTAATGCATATTTTTGGGTTTTTAGGGTGGTACCTTGGAGCTGTATCTCCAGGTAATTGACGGGTAAGGTATTTCCTTTCTAATTTTTTTTTGGCATAATTAATACACCAAGTGAATGCAAAGGAAAGACAGCAAAAAAGGCACGCACTATTTGTGCATCATTTGAGGCTTGCATGCAACTCCCCAGTATCTCATTTGTAGTTCTCCAAAAATTCAGTAGCAAAACCACCATATTTTACTGCTTTGATTTCAGCCTCCTTTGGTGGTCTGAAAAGTGGGAATGGGAACAGTTTCCTTCAATATCTCATCCTTGCCTTTAAATTTTTCACAAAGTGTTTCCCCAAAGTCTAAAATAATTTTCCCAAACCTGAAAAGGAAAAGAAAAAATTCAGCCACAGCTCTTCTTATAATTAATAAGCTGAGATGTAGTCTCTGACCATTCAAATATTCTCCACTTTAATAATCCTTGAATGAGAACTTGCTTTTTCTATTTGTAGCCTAATCTATTCTAGCTTCAGATATAACTTCAGATCTACATAAGAAGTCAGTTGACTCCCCATTAATTAATTGGTGGCATTGCTGGGTATGCTCCAGTGCTCTAAGACTTCCTCCTGAGGTGCTTCCTTTGCATAAAACAGGTCCATTGAAGCAGGAGGAAATGAAGGCTTAGTGCAGTGAAGAGCATCCAGCAATCCTCAACTGATTGGCATGGGGATAATTTTGATTCCCATACAAATCTGAAACCATGCCTGTAAATTGTGAATTGATATTCAGCTAACTGCATTATTGTTGAAATGAACTGACATCTAATCTATGCTTATGGCTGTTTCTGTGTCCCAGGTCACAGAATCTTGACGTGCGTTTGGGTTATGAACTTTGCCCTGATGAGCAGGATTTTCTGCGCAAGAGGAAAAAAGTGGTTGCAGATGCTCTGTATAAGCTTTTTAATCTAGGAGAGGAGTTACAAGAGGATGAGGTATGTGGACTTCTTGTAATTATTTGCGTGTTAAATAATTAATTACCATCTAGTTATTGACAAGCATAATTGTGCCCACAAAACACACTAGATTGAAAATGTAAGTTCAGGAGCCGCAACATGTATGATTCTAACAGAGAATGAGCTATGCTATATTGTCTGGACACAAAATGGAAGCCATATTGGATTTCTAGAAATCAACCTTGTTACTTAAATTCATTGAAAATTACAAAATTCAGTTTCTGGATATCCATTTTGGACCTGAACCATATGCTAAGCTTCTGTTTGTATAAAACTTGAACCTACATATAAGCTGACATAGAAGTAAATCCTATGAAGAGAGCCAATTTGGTATAATGGTTAAGGCATCATATTAGAAACTCAGAAAGTATATTTTCTAGGCCTGTGTTAGACACAAAAGCCAGCTGGATGACTTTGGGCCAGTCTCCCCCCCTCTCTCTCTCTCTCATTCTCTCTCTCATTCTCTCTCTCTCTCTCTCTCTCAGCCTTAGGAAAGAGGCAATTGCAAACCACTTCTGAAAAACCTTGTCAAGAAAATTGCAGAGACTTGTCCAGCTGTTTACTTAGAAGCCAAAACTTTATAAATCTTTTAAACACATACCTAAAGCTCCAGCTCCCCTTATTACTTAGCCAAGATCAAAATTAGCAAAAACACCTAATGTCATAAATACATAACTATCTTGTCCATTTATTCTATATTTCCCTCATGCCTCTCTTTAACAATTAAATATTATAAAAAAGAAATTAATGAAACTTTATCAAAAATAATTTCCCCTTATATAGATGTCAAAAACTCATCTACACATTATCCAATCTATATAACCATTCAACATCATCAAAAATAAGAACTCATTATTTAGCCAGTTAGTCAAATAAATCAATTATATATTTTCTCTTCTTACTACCATTCTTAAATCTCATAAATAAAATTCTGACCTGTTTTTTTAGTATATTTTCTTCTTGTATTGAAATGTTTATCACGTTCAGGTCCTTGAAAATTTCTTGCAATTTCCATGAAGTAGCTCTAATAAATCTCAATTTGAAAGGGTAATCCACAATGCCTTTTTCAAGGTTTGAATAAACATCTAATTGTATTTGTAATCAATTGTTTCCAGAAGGATTTGTTAATCTTCAATTGTAACTTGTAGTTCCAATAAAAAGTTCACTTACCATTCCATAAATCAAATATTTTTTTTAAAGTAGTCATCTTGTGCTTTGGTAATAGACTTTAAGGTTTTCTTTTACAACTGATACATAAAGAAGACAGCTTTCCTATACAAAGGTTTTTTCTATTCATTCTTTCAAAAATAAAAGTTACTTTTTCTATTTTAAATTTAAAAAAGGATATTTTATTTTATTTTAATCTCTTTAGTTTAGTTTTTGTGAGGCGAGCAAAAATCAAATCAAGTTCTCAGCCATTTCTTAATATTATAGTCCCAGAAATAATGACAATCATCAAATAGAAACACTCATATCTAAACAAAATCTCTCTTTAACTGAAAAATGAATTATAATCCAAAAATAGCATTAGAATGAGGAATGTCAGTTTTACTGTCTATAAATTTAGGCTGTGAGACTCACCTGAACTCACCTATCTGTTGCTCAACTCAGTAGCCAATCGGGAAAAAACTCCGTTTCCACGACTTATTCTTGATGAGTGACATTGTAAGTTTTCTCTTTAAATCTAGACGAAGAAAAAACACACACACAAACCAAAAAAATATGGAGGCAAAAAAGCTGTGTCATTGTTTGCCTTTGGAAAAGGTTAAGCTGCTATTTTTCCCTCTGGAAATTGGAACTGTCAATTTGGTCTATTAAAAGATCATTTGGAGTTGGAATGTTATCTTCCAGAGTCCAAGATTGTTCTATGGCCAAAGTCACTGTTTATATTATTGATGAAGTGATTACTTATATTTCTAACAGGTCCCTGTGATTGCTCTTTTGGCAACTGGAGGTGGTATCAGAGCTATGATATCCTTGTATGCTCATCTCTCAGCCTTCCAGAAACTGAACCTTTTGGATTGCATTACATATATCACTAGTGCTTCTGGATCAACATGGTAAAAACTAAGAGAAATGTGTTACATTTAATTAGAATTCCAATTATACAGGGCCCAATGTTGAGAAAATTATGTCCGTGCAAATGAACACGATTAGAAAAATACATCATTTGGCCTGCTTTTCCATGATGAGTACTTGTGGGACTTCACTCTCTCTACTCCTTCATTAGAGTAGGACTATGAAACTACTGAGCAGAAAGAGTAGAAGGGATTCCTGGATGTCCCACACCCCCATTCTGTGTGTAAAATGATTTAACAATATTGTTGGAGGCTGGATTAAAAGTTGAGAATCAAGGTGAATAATCATATATTTTAGCCAGAAAAAAAGGTGAACTTCAAATCATTATAAGTATTATTAGAATTGAATTGTCCATGTGCAGTATATGTCAGCATTTAATAAAGGACAAGAGTAAAATTCTTCTATTTCAAAATATGTGTGCAAAGAGTTAATTAAAACCGTCAGGATTGAATTATTTGGACAATTCCACTTGAAAACTAGATACTGACATCAGAATTAGAACTTTTATAAGAACAGCATATTCTGAACCAGTTTCTAAAATGCTACAAATATACTTTGAATATATAATAGTGGAGACATTTCCATTTTATGAAATATCATTTTTCTCACTACTGCAGGACACTTACACATTTGAATCGTCATATGGACTGGTCACATCAAAGTTTTGAAGACCACATCCATAATATAAAAAGACAGTTGCTGAAGAACAAAAACGACGTTATTTCTAATGAAAGGTTGAAGAAGTATCACAAGGAGCTATCCAAGAGGATTGAAGCTGGTCATCTTTCATCTTTTACAGCACTCTGGGCCCTTGTTCAGGAAACTTTTTTCTACGATGGAGTAAGTTAAGTATTTGTTATGCAGCAAAGATGTGATCCCTAGCTTCTTCTATTGAAACAGCAATGTGACATCATGTAACATCATCTGTGCCAGGCGTGGGCTGCTGTGGGTTAGCAGGGGTTCAGGAGAGCCCCTAGCTAAGAATCTGTGCAGTTCGGAGAACCCCCAAATCCAGGGGTGGGATTCAAATTTCTTAACAACCGGTTTTGTGGGTGTGGTGGTGGTCATGTGACTGGGTGCTTGTATATAAATATGGTAAATATTTATTTAAACATTGATTTTTTTTTATAAAAAAGAACAATTTTTACCCAAAAGCAGGCAAAGCAGGCAGGCAGATTGAGTTGCTCACAGAATCACAGATTCATTTAGAGATCTATCTATCTGCAATCGGCTACCTGAGTCTGCACTGAAAAGCTTCAGTCCTAAGGAAGGTTCGGTTCTGCTTTTAGATTAGCTAGAAAGCAAGAAATCCAAGGATTTCTGTGTTTGAAAATCCTCTTGCTTCATGCTTTTTCAATCTCAGTTGTGCTATGCAAAGCAGCTGAGGAGGGAAAAGCAGGGAATAGCCTAGAGCCCAGGCAGGTAGGTGGGCAAAACACCGAACTGGTTCGGTGTCAGCTGCTCTTCACAGCTACAGGTTCTGTAGAACCGGGCCGAACCGGTAGCATCCCACCCCTGCCCAAATCCCTCTCCTGGCTGGCCCTGCCAACTCCTCCCCTCCCAGCAGTCCCCACGTGACCTGTTTTGGATGCAGGTAAGTGCCGGGTGTGTGCGGAGGCTCGGGAAGGATGAAAAACAGGCCTCCCAGAAGTTTGGGAAGGCTGGAAATGGGTCTGTTTCTGGCTTCCAGAGAGCCTCCGGAGCCCGAGGAGGCTGTTTGTGCCCTCCCAGAGGCTTGAAGAAAACCTCTGGAGCCCGGGGAGGGCAAAAACGCCCCCCCCACCATGGTGCAGGAGGCTGACTAGGCCACACCCACCATGGCTACGTCCGCCCTGTAACCGGGCAGAGGACCCATTTCTTAAATTTTTGAAGCCCACCCCTGATCTGTGCTGGTGAGTGTGGGTTGCCTCACACTTCCGAGCGCTGATGATGTTATCTAGTTGGGTAATGAAACATCTGCAAAAAAAAGCAAACAAGCTCAGAGAATACCAAGGATTTCCCAGTTTAACCCTTAGCTACATGTATTCTCTTCTATTGAATGATACATATATTAAAATATTTATTATGTTTCCCTTTGTTCGAAGATAAATCGCACTAAGCTCTCTGACCAGCAACAGGCTTTGGATCAGGGGCAGAACCCGTTTCCTATTTACACAGCCATAAACGTGAAAGAAGAAAACATCAAAACTTTTGACTTTAGAGGTGAGTACTCACATACCAGTCTCTCCACTGTGGAAATGTGGACTTTGGTTGCCTGCTATAGGCATTGGAAGAGAGGAGAAAAAGGGAAGGGCATGAAATATTGACCTTGAATTTAATAGAACAAGTACTTCCTATTTATCATGAATCTCTCAGAGTACTTTTATATGGATTACATAGGGAAGGTTGCATTATACTCATTTGCAATCAACTTCACCAAGGCAGGAAGATCATACAGAAAATCAAAGAGAAAAATGTAATACAAGCTAATGTAATATTTAAGCTATTGATAGGTTAGATATGCTTCAGAATATCACAATTTGTACTGATAAGAGTTGCCGCCCAAAACATCCAGGAGGGCACCAGTTTCCTGTCCTGATCTAAATGATCTTTGCTTGAATTGTTATTTAGGTTAATGAAAACCTTTCTCCTCTACATCAATATTTGTTTGAAAGGATCGGCTTCTGTTTTGACATTATCTTTTATCAGCCAGGGATTACAGGTAGTTCTAGTAATTTTCTTCCAGAAAGTTATGCATTAGATGTGTACAACTATTTAAATGGCTATACATTATTCCCTTAAACAGCTTTTCATTGTTCTCTATGTTATAAACATAGTGATGCAAGTTGTTGATTGAATACAAACTTCTAGTTTGTCATGCTTTGCACTTAGATTTGTGGAAGATACCACAAAATAGATCAAGGTAATTGGAACAAGATGGTTGTTTATCTAATGCTATTTTTTCCAGAAGAAATCTCCCTGGAGGTCTGTCTGTCTGTCTGTCTGTCTGTCTGTCTGTCTGTCTGTCTGTCTGTCT